TTTGTGCTTTGAGTATAAATAAAGATGAAGAATCAATTCTAGTATAAAACTCTAAATGATTAAGTATGTAAAGACATAGAATTAAGAAAGTGCATAGAAATCAAATCAAAGCTAGTACTCTAACATGTTTTGCAACACGTAGCAGCAAGAGTAAAGMACATAAACATAARGATWAATCGTTRATCTACAAAGCGTAAGGAGTTAGATCTYATMTCTTCGCAATAGGGSAAAGTCAATCTATCCTTAAAGACTTTTAGAATCAAATATGCATTAAGAACAAGAGAAAAACGAAATACATGTTTAGATATTGATTTAGGTTATTATGGCCAGCTGCTTAAGTTCCTAGCGAGGCTAAAGACAAGTACATATAGGGGTTTAAGGAGGCTTAAGTCGGCTAGATCTTTTTTGGGCAAAAACGTCTTTTTGTTTGAAACTGAAGCAATACCGGTCACAATACCAGTCGGATTGCGTGACCGATATTTGAGGCTTCTATAGCGCTTCTAGAAAGTCGGTAAAGGTCTGGATCATCGGCCCATGGGCGGCCGGGTGCTTAGCTTCCTTGTGCACTCACTTCACTTCAAAGGCAGTTTGACATGTCATCAGTGTTTCCAGTGTATCTTCCAAATTACAACTCCAAATGATGTAATTCCAACTTCATTGGAAAGCTAACTCAGATGGCTATCTCCAGCCCAAGTTTCGTTTGATTCCAAAATGAGTTGATCCTCTGTTCATCAGTGAACTTCTGGCGTATACGTTCTGTCCAATTTGAGAATATGCATTATCTTCAAGATAAAATGACTCGGCTTGGTTCCTTTGACTTGAATGAGTAGCTGCATCATAGATAACAGTCTTTTTTCTCTATTTTACATCCTTTTGATGATAAAACCTGTTAAGACCTTAAAATTTACAAATACAAGAAAACTACCTCTTTTGGTCGAAAAGTTTTATTAATATATGTAAAAACCATAGTAAAATAAATAGTAAAAATGGTAAAATATAGGGTATATCAGTTTCGCTGTTGTATCATAATTCGGACCAAATCCAAGAACGTACACATTGAATTGTGGAGGAGAAAAACAAAGTGCAACTATTTCAATAAGGGTCCCGAAGTTGTACTGGGAAAGAACGTGTAACTGTACGCTTCCATCCGAAAACAGAGACAATAATTTAGAGTTTTAGGAAGATAACCATTAACCTCAAAAGAAACAATATATATGAAKAGACTGTTTGGTGTAAGAATATAAAGAAACATATGAAACGGCAAAAGAATCATCTAAGCACTATGTAGTTTTTTTTTTTTTTCATTTGAAAAAATTTTGTATGTCAATTTTACCTAGTTTAGACACTTTCTTTAGAAAATAATTTTTGATCATTTAAATTGCTAAAAAGAATTAATTGAAAGTTRATAGTTATTATACCATTTTTATTTTAGWACTTTATTACTACAGGACAAAAAAAACTACTATTGAAATAGGACCATGAAATAAATTATTAGATCTTGCATACAATTAATTTATCGTTGTGACCATCTTTAAGAATGTTTTTCCGGTAAAACAATCCCAAAAATTGAATGAATAATTATATTTATGTAATTATATATAGGGTAGTTAACGGCTCCAAATGGTGACCATTATGAATGTAAGGAATGTGAAGAACATAACATTCCTACTCATTCATAATATTTTTTTACCATTTATAAGTAATAAAGATTTCATGTCTTTCTTTTTCATTCCTAATAGTATTAGGGAATATAGAACAAAAGTATTCTCCATCTAATTTGACAAGGAACAAAATGAATGTATTTTATGTAGATATTTTTCTTTTATTATTTGAAATATTTATTATTTTTTTGTTACCATTTACAATGATAATTTGTTTCATTCTCTCTCTACAATAATTTCTTTTAATTTGTTCCATACAACTTTTTCTATTCTTTTTCCTCTTCATTCCTATAATTCTTCGAGTGGTCACCAGTTAAAGCCATACATATTTTAAATGTCTTATATTTTTTATATGGTCTAACGTTTAATATTGTTTTTTCGTGTTGTCTGGTGAAGACAACAAAAAATCGAGGAAAAATAGGGTGCATTGCATTCTATATGTTGGTGGTATCTACTGAATTCAACCTATCAACATAAGTTTTAGTTTTCTCATTTAGAAGTGTTTGTTCTCTTTTTTTTTTTTGATAAAAGAAGGAGAAGTGTTTGTTCTCTTCAATCACTATGTTTAATTGTCAACTTATTTTATATGGTTTTTTTTTTTTAAACTTATTTTATATGGTTTTTTGTTTTAACTTATTTTATATGGCTACCATTCGTCTATTCCACATCACACGAATAAAACGCAACGAAGTTRATATTTCCCAGTCGTACTTCTCTTGATGAATTAATTTTGCATGTCACACGTTTTCATACGRTTCATAGATTCATCGAGAATGCGATTAGTCTATTCATTGGTGTATACCAAAACTTAGTTTACCAAAAAAACAAAAATTTAAAGAAGTATTATATGGATGGAACATAAATTAAAAAAAGTTTGATGATTTCTATGCTA